CGACGCGTGGCCCAATCTTGCATCTCCCTCTCTCCTTCTCTCTCTTTCTTTTTCTGCGAGATTGCATCTGCAGATTGGGATCCCCGACGGGAGGGAGTCTCCGCGAGGACGCGATGGTAATCGCGCGCGTGTCCTGAAACACCCTGATGCTGTGTTGTCGTCGTCAAGAAGTTCCGGAAGAACGACGGTCGCGCGAGCGTTTTTCAGATATCCAGATCGCACGGCGACACCCGGTACAGTCGTATTATAGTCGCGTAACAGAGGCACGCTTTGTCGTTACATAATCGCGCGCGTCACGCGGCGCGGCCGGCTTGATACGCGATTCGGTGCGACGGGCGGGCAGGCGGGGATGGGAAAGGCCACAGGCAGAAGTGAGACACCGAATTACACGAGACGGGCGCGTGTGGTGGTAGTGGCGACGGCACCTACACGTTTACAGGCTCATTTCTACTAGAAGTAGATCAAGTAGATTTCATTTAGTCTCGGTTCAATTTACTCTCTATCTCTTTCTAAATCTTAGAGGACTGGAAGGAGATAAGAAGGTTGAACAGAGATTAAAGTCAATCTATATACAATTGATATAGAAATGGACGCTTTAAACCGCCGGAGCGCGTCGTAATTAACGCCGATGAGCCACCGCGGAATTTTAATTTTAATTTGCGCTCTCTCGCTCGGGATGTTTACCCAACGACGTGGACGACGGGTTTCGATCGCGCGTTGTCGCACGTTCCCGCGGCCGCGCGAGATCCACGTGAGACATTCCACGCGGCTGTTTCTTACAACGCGCCCCCGTCGTCGGCCTTCCCCCCCGACCATACACGTGACACGGGCGGATAACGAGCAAGGCCTTTGCGCAAAAGAATTTATCCACGTTATATAATGCACGCGCGTGACGACAACATCGTGACACGATCGACGCGCGGTTCCCCGCCATTTTTTCCCTCCTCCCCTCCCCCCCCCCCCGCGAGCTCCGGAAAAGTCGGGCGATTTTGTTTCTCTCCTGTTGCTCCGACAGTTGCCGATTTTTCGACGCGCGTATAATTTGCGCACGTGCACACGGCGTTCCAATATAGAATAACGATTACAAAATTTCCATACATTCTCTTTTGTCGCCTTCAGAAAGAGAGAGAGAGAGAGAGAGAGAGAGAGAGAGAGAGAGAGGGAGAGAGAAAGAAGGAATAGACTTTACCTTCGTAAAAGTCCAAGAATTGCGGCATTTGAATTTCTTTTAACCGACAAGCAGTAATAAAAATGTACCGCAATTTGATTTAGGTACAGCTGTAAGCTGCGGCGGCCGTCTAGCGTGTGCGGGGCGCTCACGACTCGTCGGGGTCTCTCGCGCGGTGTGAAAGTCGCTTAAGAAATAACGCGGTGCGTGATGCAACTGTTAGCACATAGCGCGCAAACGCTCGCGCAATTCGCGCGCGCGAGCCGGGTTCGCCTTGTGTTGTGTGCTGCGGTCCGTCCCCCCTCGTCCCGTCCCGTCCGCCACGTGACTGCAACACGTGCAGGCTGTTATGTTAGACCATTCACCTTCGTTGCATAATACGAGCGGGGAAAAGGTCATCAGCGGCGAACAACGGAGTCTGATATTTGCTAATATGATCGATAAACCAGCCGTCGCGCCGCTTCTGAATCGCGATCGTCGCGGGAATTCAGTTCGCTCGATCTGATCTGGTCGGGGCGACCGTGAGAGGCGCAAGAATTGGCGTGTGCCGCTCTCGTGTGACGCAATTCCCGTCGCCGCGCCGGTAATACGGTCGTTGCCGAAACACCCCGATATCCCCCGCCTTGGAAACACTTTTCGGAAACATCGGCGATGCGCATCTCCTCGTCGCTTCCTCCTCCGCGTTCTCCTTCGAGAGATTCAAGAGGAGCGGTTTGCCGCCTCGGCGCGGTCGATCGCGAGGACGGATGACAATCTTAAAATTCCGCGCGGTCGTCGCGCGCGTTTGTCGTCGATATCGTTTAAATAAGAAATAGAGCGGCGCAAACACAGATACAAGGCGCGTTGCTCGCCCACCGTGTCACTCCTCCCCCTCCCTTCCGGACTCACTCTCTCTCTCTCTCTTTCTCGTTCTCTCCTTACATCGTGGTGATCGATGAACGGCCGATGACGCAACGTATAATCCACAATGTCCGAGACGCGCGGCGACACGTATATACCTCCTAGATATCGCCGGTATATCCGGCCGCACGCACACACGAGCGTACGCGCGCTCGCGCACGCACGGATGACGACGACGACGACGGGGAGAACCCGTAACTAGCGAGTAGCTGTGCACTTGCGACCGTTCGCAGTCGCAAGTGTAACACCTGCGACTGTATACCCGCTTTTTCGCGCGCAACGCTGATACCGCTAATCCGCTCCCTTCTCCGCGGCGCGACCGCGCGACGCCCCGCTATAAGACAATATTCCGTATATATTCCAGTATGTCGACCAGTATGGCGAGATAAACTCAATCTCTTCTCGTGGAAAAGCCCCCTTTTTTTTCGCACGCGCGATCCGAATTTCCCGGTCGATTTTTTGTCGCTCTGTCGTCGAACAAATGCACCGTCATCCGCGCGAAGGCTCAATATATAATTTACCCGTTACTCCGCAGCGTCCGAAACGTTATCTCTCGCGGCGGTTGTATACAATTTATATATCCATTTATCGATCTAATTGCCAAAGTATCCGGCAGTTGGGAGCGATTACGTACAATAACGTGACTCGGCCGTTTTTCTTTTCTTCACCGCCGAGTCCCCCTCCTCCTTTCACCGCGGCGCGGCGCGTCCCGATTTCTCGGTTTTATTTTTCCCCGCGATTGCCGCAATTTGTACGGATTCGAGGATTTTACCGCGTGACGGATCGCGGTCACGTTTCCAAGTTCCCGAGCGAGCACACGTGTGTGCCCTTCGCGGTGGGAAAGAGGAAGGACCGGGTCGCGGGAGAGTCCGTGAGTCCGTTTATTGCACACGGACGGTTTATGCTACGAGGTTGAGAGAGCTCCGTAAATTGGGCCGTGGCCCACTTTGATAGAGAGCCGTAGCGGCACGCGTAGTGAGGTGGGAGGAGGAGATCGATGGGGAGGGGGAGTCGGTGTAATGAGAGAAGGAGAGAAAGAGAGAGAGAGAGAGGAGGGGAGGAAGGTTCCCGTTTTGCGAGAGGATCTCGCGATCGATGGATCGCTCCTCGTTAAGCCGCCCGCGGCCACGTGGAAGGACTTGCTAGATCGATCGAGTCGAGTGCGACAGCGGCGGCGTTATCATTGCATCTCCGTATCTTTAATGTGTGTCAATTAATCAAATTCGCCGGGATCGGCTGATTTTAAATTATAATTGGCCGTTAATGGGCGAGAGAGAGGAAAAGAGAGAGAGAGCTTACGACGAGAATATCGATTCTTCTCACGTAACCGCGAGCGCGCGAGCGGTGACGGCGGCGTCCGGCGGCGGCGGCGGCGGCGGCGGAGTCGAAAGGATAAAAATAAAATCCGACCTTGATCCTTGATCGCGATGCATTTCGCAAACGCATTCGTACCGCGAAGGCGGAACGTTCCCGCAAACGTTCGTCGCGCGTGCGTTTCGTTTCCTCCGCGCGGTGTGCCGAAACCGCGTGAAGCGAAAAATTTCCCGGTAATCCCCTCTCGAGTATTATTTCTCCGTTATCGTATATCCCTAGCGTGGCGCGGGGTATGACGCAACGGATGAAGGAACGAACGAGCGAGCGAGCGAAGGAACGAGCAACGGCGCGGCGGCGGCACGCCGCGCGTGTTGCACGCACTTTCGTAAGTCTCGGTAATACAAAGCAGCGAATAGAAAAAGACGCTCGTTCCTTTATCCTCGTGCGCCGCACGTGACGTCATCGGCCGCGTATTAATTGCATTTCTCGAAACCTCCGGCCTTTATCTGCACCTGCGTTATTCGAGAGTCCGCGTGATTCAGTCCGCGAATATATCGCAAACGATAAGATATGCACCGCGCGCTGCACAGGCCGGACAATGGATGCGCTCCGTTGGACGATCACGTTCGCGAGTATCGCTCCGTATGTCGATATTGCGTCATTCATGCCGCTCGCGAGGATCGCCGGAATCGCTCTCCGGAGTTTCGTGAAATCGATCGCGACGTTACTCCGCGTAACTCGCGGAGATCGCGTCTCTCGCGGGGAGAACGCAACAGAGTACAGATCTATACGAAACAGCGAGGAAAATTTTTATTTGGGCGAAAATCAGCGGAATCTTCACCGCAAAAATTTAATATCGTCCGTCAAGAGATTTTAACTCGTATTGGCGACAATTGAAAGGTTCCCTGCGTGGAAGAACGCTCCAACGTTTTTTTAAATCTCACCACTGCACATATATCAACACAGTGTTTAGCCAATGTTTTGCGCAAAGACGTTTTTTATTCATTAAAACAACACTTTTCATGAAGACGATGATTTTTCCAGGGAACCCTTCAATTTTGCCACGCCGAGGCACTTCAGAAAATCTTCGTGGAAGATCTCCGGAATGGTCTATAGCGAGTCCGGACGAGCGAGTCTCGGAAATAATAAAGATCTCTTTTTTACTCTTTCTCTCGGCGCGAGCTAATAGGTATCTGTCAAAACGCGCGGCGCGGCAACCGTGACTCCGGAGTTTCGCACGCGGCACTCTCCCGACGTTTTACCCGCGCACCAGAAGAGCACGTGCTCTCTAGGATGCCTCTGGCACGTCGCGAATCGAAGCAATCGATTGACGGCGGCGGCGGCGGGCGACGGCGGAGCGCGCGCGATTTTCACGGTGCCGGGATTCCCCGAGAGCGCGATCGCGAGATCGCGTCAATTTTTCATCGTCGTCGACGTTTCGCGGCACTCACCGCGTTCTCTCTCCGTCAACACTCTTCAAACGCTCTTTAAACGCGAACGAATTGGCGCGACTGCAGCGTGCGATTTCGTAACGAGAACGCGGTTCGGGTGTCAAAACGATTATCACGACCATATCGTGTTGCTCGCCATCCGCGAGGCAGACGTCTCTCGTACTCACCAATTTTGAAAGGTTCCGTCGATCTCCTTGGAGCGCACGATGGAACAGCGATCCAACTCTGTTTGTCGATCTCTCTCGTCGATCTCCTGCCGACCTTCGGGGCGCGGAAACAGAGTCAAAAGATGTGTGTTGTATATCAATATATACAGTTTCACCGCGTATACGGTTTCCACAGGCGTAACTATCGCGTTGCGATCGTCGAAACGGGAACGGCACGCGGTGCTCCGTTCATCGAACCTCCGGCGGCGCGCGGCGGCTGTGTCACAGCGGCGGCATAACAGTCGTCCCCGTAACACGAATCTCTCACGGGGGAGGGAAGGGGGAGAACTTTACTCCCGGCCGTGTGCGAGACACGGGACCGTGTTAATCCACCCGGGGGCACTCTCGCGACGAAAAAAACCGTACGGGTACAAGTGCGTTGCTATATACTCCGGGCGCGTGCTGGCGGGGAAAACACTCGCGACAGAGAAGACAACGACAAGAAGAGACACTCCCGAAAAAAACGATCGACTATAACAGCCACTGGAGAAGGCGCGACGCGAGGGCGATCTCCTCTTCCTCCTTTCCCGCCTTCCTTACGGGCGAGGTGAACTTGAACTCGCGCGCTCTCGCGACAGTGCGCGGGGGTGACAGCCGATCCGACACGTAACGCGTCGTTGCACTGCGTGAGCTCGACGACGGCGCGAACGCGGTATATATACTTGGCGTATACGCGAAGTACGTATAGTAATATCTGTGTACTTTATATATATATATATATATGTATATATATATATACGTATGTAATGCGGGCTGCAAGACAGCGAGACCGTGAAACGCGCACGTCCGCTCACTACGAAGCCGGGCTGACAACTAACTGAGGCGCGCACCGCGTGAGACTCCGACGGCGACTGCCGTGCCGCCGTCTTGGCCCCAATGTCGTCTGGCTTCGCTGCCGAGAAGGCTGACTGGACGGGGTTGCCGCGCGCGCGTATGTGTGCGCACCGTTGGTGAACGTAGGTCGCGGGCGACGGGGGAGGGGGCAAGTTTACGCCTGGTTTATACTCGGTTTATGTGTGGCGGTCCCCCCCGCACCCCCCGGCCACCCCTCCCGCGTGTCCGCCAACCGTCCCCACCATCCGCCACCGCCACCGCCACCGCCACCACCGCCGCCGCCGCCGCCGCCGCTGCGACCGGCTCCCAACGCGCTTCTGCGTCAGACCGTCCGGTCCCCTCCTCCCCCCCTTCGCACTCGCTGCTGCGCCGACGGTCACCCCCTCCCTCCCTTCGCCCCAACCGGTGCCCCCTTCCCTGGCCCGGTTGTATCCTCGCCGCACCGCGGAATGCACCCGCGTCGTCGTCGCTCCGAGTGCGGACGAGCGGCGCGAGCGATTAGATTGCGTCGTGCGCGCGGCCGCGACGCAAGTGCCACGCAAGTGACACTATACCCTCGTCGACGGATGAGGTATGGTGTTGTAGCCCTGCATGCAGCCGGATACCCCCCATGGACATCCTTTCCGGCCGAAATCGACAAAAATGTCCCGGTTATCGATGACGGCCCCCAAAACGCACGAGCTCGAACTTCAGACGAAGGTCGGGCGTGCACGAAACAATCGGAGCGAATTGAATGATCAAATATCGGAGCATTTTTGAGAGAGTAGATTAAATTGCGGTAAACGACACTTTCTCTCTTTCTTTCTCTCTCTTTCTTTGCAATTTAATTCATTTGTCTGTCCTAATTTCATTTCGAATCTCAATTTAGTTATGAAAATATCTAACGTAGAAAATTGGAGGAGAGGACAAAAGATTCCTTTTTCCCGCGGAGGAAATAGTAGACTTGAATGAATGTCAAGTAGTACTCGAGTAAACGCATTATCATCAAACGCTGATTCCCGTTCTATCTTTATCCGTCTTACGTATCTATAGCCGCTGCAAGCGGGCGCAAATCACTGACACTTATAGTGACTGCTATCGATCCTCTCCGCGTCCCCACCGTCCCACCGTCTACATTCCACGAATTTTAATCGCTAACCTTCGGGGGTGCGCCTCCGTCTTTCGGGGAAGAGGGATGTCGAGATCGATCTCTGTATGCCGTACAGAGTACAGAGAAACCGACTCAGCAAGTTGGAATGTTAGAAAACCAAATCGAAATCGTTACGCAAGTTATCTCCGTTTCATACTTCAGAAACGCGACATCCGTTCTTCCTCATTCGATATAGCGTTATCTCGGTGTTAGGATAACAATTTTATAATTTTATAGAGAGAGGAAATAGAGAGACAGAGAGAGAATGAAAAGATTAGAAAAACTCGAATAAAATATTCCTTCAAATAAAATGTTTCAAGTGCAACGCCCGCCCGTCTCCTCTCGACCCCACGAGACTCCCCCTCGCCGCGAGCTCGCCCTCGTCGCGCGCGTGTGGGCGAATCGACGCGCGATTTCGCGGTCGCGCTGAAAAGAAAAAAAAAATAAGAAAAATGATTTACACGCCGCGATCGCACGCGGCCGTGGCCGGGCCCGTAACGAGATACGCATCGGAGCGAGATGCTACTCGGAATCGCGTCGGGCTGGCCGATCCAGCCAAAACAAAGAGCCGGGACCGCTCGATCTCGGTGGAGTTCTCAGTTCGGCCGGCCGGTTGGCAAGGACCCTCCATCTCCTCCTCCTTTTCCTCCTCGTCCTCCTCCGCCTCCGCCGCCGCCGCCGCCGCCGCCGCCGCCGCCGTTGCTGCTGCTGCTTCTGCTCTTCTCTCTCCTCCTCCACCGCAACCGTCCTCCATAAACCGAATGCCAGACAACGAGGGCATCAGCCCCCATGAATCACCGCCGGTCACCTTCACTTTTTATGCAACTTTGTGAACCCGACCCTCGCCCCGCGCCGCACCGCGCGCGTCGTCCGCGCCTCTCCTCTTCCTCCTCCTCCTCTCCCCTCCGTCCTTCTCCGCCGTTATGAATATCCGCATGCAATCGGTATCGGTCATCCTTTTATCGACGCATTATCGACACGTATGTGCATTGGGGATAAGGATGTTGTCGCGTTATCGAGACGCTTGCCTAATCGTACGTCAAACGCGGACGATTATTATTGCGCATCATTATTACGGTCGCCCGGGCGCGGAACACAATAACGCATGCAGGGAATTCTTCTTTCTTCGCGATTCATTTTTATATAAGTGTATCTGTATGCAGTGTAAAAAATTTCTCGTTACACAATATCTGTATATACTATATGTGGAGCGATATTAATTATTATACAGCGATATTATATTATATCGCGCAGTTTATTATACGCTGTAACTCGATGCTGTAACTCGCTCGCGGTGGCCGAGCGGCACAGCTCCGGGAGCTCGCTCGTTGGATTCGAAAACAATCATGCGACGGGAGATGGAAAATTCGCGGCGGATATAAAGTTCGACAATGCGATTTGCATAGATCGCACATGCATAATGACATCACGTGTCCGCCGTCCGGAGTGCGGCGCGGCGCGGCGCAGCAGCGGTGGGCGAATTTCGGTATTTCAAGGACGCGCGCGCGTGCGGCCGCTGCGTCGTCGTCGTCGTCGCTACACGCTTACACATCACGGCCGCGTGCAGTTTTGCACCGCGTATACATTATACGCGGAACTGCACGCGCGTTCAGCACGCGCGGCGCGGGCCACGTGTATTTGCCAACGACGATCTGAGGAATCGCAAGCTATTATACGAGCATCGAGCGACGCGCGCAAAAACAACGGCACAGTCGAGAGGGTTGAGGAGGAGGAGGCGGCGAGAGAGAGGAGAGCAACTTCCCCGATGTGAAAAGCGAAAGGAGAGTTCGCGCGCTGCGCGTTGGAAAAACAACGGCGAGGAAAGAGGAAGTGCCGCGTTAATAATACGTTAGAAATTACTTGACGCGTTTCTTCGACGCGAACGTTCCGCGTGACGTTCGGAAGGATCCCCCCCGATGACGGTATCAACCATTTAATTGAACGTAATCGTGCGATTGCGTCAAATTCTCGCTACTCGTTTTACAATTTGATTACGATTACTTCTCGGCCGCTTGCGTATAAAAAATTCTTTATTTCGTCATTACTTCATTTTCAACCGCGCGTCGTGCGCGCGTTGTGTAACGCGCGTTACACGCGTCTACGCGAGGGGTTGGGGAGGGGTGAGAGAGGAGGAAGGGAGGTTATATATCGAAGCCGGCCGCGCGCGCGTATACGCAACAACACGGACTCTTACGGGCCATGCGCAATAACTATTTCTAAACACAAACGGAGGAATCGCGTTCCCCGTCCGTCGCCTTTGCAAAAATCGCACAGTACGCACTTAACTTATTGGCGATGCGTCCCGCTCCCGTGCTCGCGCAAATACGCGCGGCGGCTCGCGACCCGCGACTCGTGGCGGACACGTGTATATGTACCCGTGTCACGGGAATATATATGCGTCATTGAAAAGCACGGAAAGAGCATGCAGTTCAAGTATACATACATATAGCCGCCCGGCGCGCGCGTACCTCGCCGCGCATATCTGCAGCGAATCGCGTGCGGAGGCGCGCGGGGCCGTGATTATTTCCCTCGCGCGCGCCAGAGGAGAGCTCGATGAGTCGATGCGATCGAAATACGGCGAGTGGCGACATTGAAACGCCGCGAATTACTCAAGACAGACGTATCCACAGAAGGCACGGGAATATATTAAACATATATATTTACTAATTATATTTAATTCTATACTTCCTATTTATTTATATTTATTCATTTATTATATTATTATTTATTACTAGTCATTTATATTTATTATAATTTTATTTATTTATTAATTACTTTTGTGTAAATTAAAATATATGTATTAAAAATTTTCTGTTCGAATATACAAGCGCTTTCCCTCGCGAAATATGCACGAGGGATTTAACGCGCAACAGCGCGTTAACCAGCTTTCTCTGAATAAAATTTCTGAATAAAATTGATCTTAAAATTGAGAATTTTGTAATTCTCGTATCAGTCCGCAGATCGATGCGTATCGCGCGACGATGATAAAGTCCTATCGCTTTGTACATACATACGAACTCGCAAGTATAGTAGTCGTACCTGGAAAGCTACGCTGACGAGGATGTAGATTTATTGGTTGCACCATTGTGGCACGCTATTCAAGGAATCAACCGCACTAGTCGGAACTGTCCTTCGGGAGCATTTCACTTCCTTCCTAATCGCTTCTCGGTATTAGTCGCTCGTAACGCGATGAATCTGCGAGCCGCGATCAGAATATTCGAAAGCTAGATAAATGATTTAAGAGCAGCTCCCGCGAGCGAGATTCCGTTCTCTCTTTCTCTCTCTTTCTCTCTGTCTCTCTCCCGCTTTTCTTCTCTCTGTCTTCCCTTCCACCCCCCACCCCCCTGGCATTTCTTTGCGTCGCGTAAAAACGTATTTAATCCGCGAAAGCGCCAAGTCATTAGCGGGTAGCGTGTCATTTCGACGTAAGTCTCGGCGGCGCAACGGTGTGTGAGATCGGCCGGAGTGATTTACGAGCGCGAGGCACACGCGCTCTTGTATCGCCCGCGTTACAATACCGCTTTGCGATAATTAAATCTGCTCTTCCCGCGGGAAACAATGACGTTCTTTCCCCTCCGCGCGTCGTCCTCCCGTCACCCTCGTGCGAGAATACATATTATATACGCAAAATCGCCGGCGACCGGTAATTAAACGCGACCGCGTCGATGCGCCGCACGGCGAGCTGTGCCACGCGCGATTATTAACCTTCCTAACTAAGAGCAAAGATCCTTCTTCTTTTTCAAGATAATAAAGCGTCTCACGGTAAAGTGAGTCCGCTGTAAATTGTAACGATAAATTGTGACACGTGGATAATGAAGTTTGTATATATATAAACGACAGTTTGCGCAGGAGAAA